TCCTTACCTATATGGGGCCTTGTACATTAGTTGGAGGGCTGGAAGTATTAGGTAAAAACTGCTGCAATCTAAGGTGCAAAATTCTGATTTGATCAAAATCTCCACGCTAATTACAATTTCCTAGGAATACTTCTCTTGACTAAATTTGTATTGAATTTGTCAGACTGAATAACTTTGAGTCGCCAGAACTCAGTGAGACCTCCCAAAGCTGTTCCAAAAACCTTTTTGCTAGACCTTTTCCGGCATGTCCCCTGCTGTGTGACAATTCAGGTCAATGTGCCTGGCTGCCACTATTGTTTAAAACAATTTAAAAGGCAAAGACTTGGTGTTCTCACTTTCTGTTCGGACAGCTGGAAGCTATGACTAAGACTATTTTTTACACTGTGCTTTGTGCTCCTTGGATAGATGTAAAGTTGAGCCAGAACCACACGCCAGTGCCAATGAAACTAATAGCCAGGCCTGAGCCTACCGAATTCACATCATGTGGCATTTGCTGGTGCTCTAAAGCAAGATACAAACTCCATATAGCTCTTGAGCATGCCAGGGTTCTGTTCAAGGCATCCTACACATACCATTTTATAGTTAGGAACCCACAAAGTAGTGTGGTCAATCTTGCTGGACAGAGAGCTTTGTACGGGCACCTCAGGAACCTTGAACATTGATGAGCAAAAGAGTCAGATGAAGGTCTACCAGAGGGACACGGGACTTGCCAGCTTTTGCCAGTAACGCCAGTAACTTAACCATGGCTGGCTAGAGAAGTGGAGCTGAGCCACCAGCGAGCAGCATTCAGACCTCTCCTTTACTTGAACTGGATAATGAAAGCTAGGGACTACTGCCAGCCAAGACCTCTTAACTCCCAGAAAACGCTAGGAGGTTCCAAGGATAAAGGGAATAAATGGGCTGGCATTGGCCTAGGTCAAGATGCGGGCAGACCTTTATTCTGTGAGCACATGTTTGGGTCAGGGAAGGTATTTTTTACGTGCTGATCGTTTCCTGGACTTGCAGCCAGGTGCAGGGCTGTACTGCAGGCAGCCTCGCACCCGCACCAGCTCTGGATGGGTGCTGGAGGCTGCCTCCTTCCTCCCGGCCTCCAGAGCAGCCCGGCACCCTGCCTCGGCCTCACGGCCACCCCAAGCCGTCCTCAGGACCCGGCTCCCCCATCCTCTTCCCCGCACCCCGCCCCTCCCCTCCGTGCAGCTCCTGTCCCCCTCGGGCCCCCACGGCGGCTCGCCCGTGTTGGCACAGGCCCTGGGCAGTGCCTGTCACGGAGCAGAGGCCGGCACGTGAAGCTGAGCAGCTCCCACAAGCTGCTCCCTTCCGACGCACGCCATTTTGCTCCAGCCAGTTGCTCGCGGAACATCTCACTGTCCCTGCCCTGAACAGACACCACCGCACCAGCACCCTGGTACAACACGACATGGGTTATGAAGCTGAACAGCCACGGAACTGCGCCTCGTTCCCTACGCATTTCTGTGCCGCCCTACCGTATCTTCCCCCGTGGCGCGGCGAGTTACCGCCGCCGGAGCCGCCACAGCGGGGACGGAAAGCACCGGCAGGGGCTGGCCCAGGG